GCCCAATTTTTTTAGGCATCGTGAGAAATCCGCCTTGAATTTTCTCTAAATGGAAGGCCACAGAGACAATTTTAAAGAGGGCACCAGAGGCAACCTCAAATTTGAGAAGGGCACAAAGGCACTCTTTTAAAATAAAGCGAAAACTCATAACAAGATTAGTAATCACATCGTCTTTGCTTTAATAGTACTAAAACAATATGCCCCAGTAAGCTTCAACACGGGCTAACACCGACCCCCTGTACCCCTTCCGTCTGCTATGGAAGTACAGTAACAAAAGCTCCTAAACAGCTTACCAATGCCCGCTATTCAGGAGCGAATAATTCCGAATGCTGTTCTTGATCCATTTCTGCGATTTATCGGTTTTAAACTCATCATTGCAACTACAGGCACGCACTGCGCACGTGGTTTATGTTGACTCGACTAAAACGAAACTAGGGCAGTATGATTAAAGGGCACCGACGGCCAATTACACAAAGGCAAAGCGCATACGGTGGAACTGCCGTCGCGTCAGTTGGATTTTCAGGGCAGGTACGGCGATTGGATAGGGGCACCGAGGCCAATTTGGCCGTCGGTGCCGTCGGTTAATTCTGAGCCCTTTTGTGACAGTTTCCAATTCCCAAGCCAACCGTGCCAGCGGTGCTGCGGTACAGCGTACGGGCGCAGCAAGATAAAAACATGTTGACGCACGTCACCACCTTCGAGGCTATCTTTTGGAAACAGTCGCGCGTTTGCGGCCAGAGATGCCATTTTCTCACCGTCTTTCTTGTGGTTTTAGCAAATGCGCGTGAAATGAGCAACTAGAGTTTATTTTGTCATAGGTAGTGTGCATTATGCATGACACGAAGTATTTAGCTAGATATACTGCGAGAAATTAGCGTTTGGATGCCGCATTGGTGAGCTTTGAGCACCGGACGTTTAGTTGCCTTGCCCTTCTCGTCGCTTAATTCGAGCCCTGGTCAACAACATCGGAGAATTTCAACAACATTGGAGGTATTTTCAAAATACCTTTTATAAGACAACGACAGTGAAATGGGAGGAACTAGAGTTTATTTTGTCATAATGTAGTGTGATTATGCATGCCACGAAGTATTTGCTAGTCTAGTACTGGAGAAATTAGCGTTTGGATGCACATTGTGAGCCTTTAAATTCATATTAGAAAAATATCTTATGTATTTCTTTATTTTTTTTGCGCAAGTGACTTTTGCCTCCAATTTGCCTCCTTTTGCCTCTATTTGCCCATGGGAAAATAAATTTGTAGCACCCTGATCGGTTACGTAAATTCGCAACGATCATGCTCATACTTATGCTCAAGGGGTCGTTGTCGTATCAGGTACTACAGATATGTACCCGAGGTACATATATGTATACACAAAGTGTACCAGACTTGTACTACAGAAGTGTACCCTAACCCGAACACTAACCCTAACCCTTCCCCTAAACATACCTCAGGCTCATATAAAAATATAAACACAATACTAAACAACCTAAAACTACCTCGGGTACATATCTGTATAGTCCGAGATTCCTCTGACCAATGCCCACACCGACGATTTTGGTGGTTTTGGTGTGGGTAGTAATAGTATTACTGCATTACTTTTGTCATTAAAATTGTAATTATTCATTACGGCATTAGACATTACTGCCATTACACGGCATTACTTAGTCATTACTCCGCTGCAGTGCTGCCGGATAAATACTCACCAACTATGTTTTTTGTCGATGTAAATTTGAAATTAGTTAGGAAAGGCTTTCAGCTCCTTCGCCATTCTTAAAAGTCTTACACGTGGCTTTTGATCACAAAAATCTGGAAGGAAATAAGTACGTTGCCAATATTACGTGTGGTGTTTACCAGTGTACCAGACGAACAGTGTGACGCGACGAAAGTGACGTACGGCGTCAATGTCATAGGAAATTTGCACAGGGGAGAGATAGTGATCCGCTAGGGGACGGCTCTGATTGGCTAATTTTGTCTCTTATTTATTTTATTTTTTATTATTTTGGGCTAATTTTGTTTTATTTTAGAATTAGGGATAGGGTTAGGGTTTAGCAGATGCGGAAGCAGGATTGCATGATTTCGCAGATGGATTCGTTAGTTAGCTGTATGCCGACGCTGGACAGCATCAACGTCCGCAGCACCTGTAGAAACATCACACGACACACAGGTGAGACTCAGGTGTAGTAAACCCACTCACACTGATAGCAAAACCCGCTCCCACAAATAAGTATATCGGAATAAGTACAATTATTTCGGGCGTGAATCCAATTCTATCGACAGGATTCAATCATGGATGCATCGGGATGCATTTAAAATGATTACGACTAAACACAACTGTAATTCTTTAAAACCAGTTGTTATGATCATTAAATATAACTAAAATAAATAAATATCGCTCAAAGTAATCACTAAATGTTCGCGTCTGGAGGGGATGGTAGCAGACTGTGTAGCAGAGTTCACTCACATGCAGGATCTTCATAAGAACGACCTCGTCAGAGCTGGGGTCGGTGCCGACGAATCGCGCATGAGTCACCGCGTCCGCCACGTTCTCTATCGCTGCCGCCGCGCTTTCCGTACCTGGCTCTGTCATCACAACAAACACAGTGTGAGTATAGCACATACACACACGTACGTGCACACGCATACGTGCACACGCATATATGTGTGAGTATAGTACATACACACGCGTACGTGCACACGCATATATGTGATATATATATATATATATATATATACATATAATGCTTTTAATGTAAGAATTCAGGCATGCATGATCTTACCGATGAGACCATAGCAAAGAAACTTGTTAACGGAGGACAGGGCAAGGCCAGTAACAGGTCCCGTTGTATCCTCCGACCTTATCACATCCAGAAAGGGCGACAGAAAGACGTTTGGCTCCAATTCGTTGACATCTTGACAATTATAGAATGCACAAAAATGTCTCCAATTATCGTCACATCAACAATCGTACTGATGCATAAATGATGGCAGTTACAGTGTTGTCTGTAATATGTGACGAGGTGTCTCATTGCACGTGCACGTTGATTTACCCTGTCACTATATATTATCAAACAAGATGTGTTTACCCCACATACAAGTACATTGAGAATGCACTTGGCCCCAATCAACGCGTGTGTTATGTACTTCTAATCTGTATCAATCATATTAAAGTATATTATGATTATACACGATATTATATGATATCTTACCATTTATCTTCTGCAGAATGTTCTTAAGTTCCAGAAATTCTTTCATCAGAGGATCATCCTCCTAAAAATTCAAGCAGCAAATCATGAATTACATATAAAACTTATGGCCTAAAACTAAAAGTAAATACACCCCCAATAATAATTGTACCATGAATGACAAATTATTCAAAATCACACCCATGACCAAACCCTTACCATGATGGTAACCTAACTTAACCCGCGATTAAAACCCCAACCATTATTCATTGTTATTCCCTATGTGGCTGTAACCTAGAAACCCTACACACGATGGTACCATAACCTCGACCAAACTGATTAATACCTACCCGTTAATTGTGTAGCTCCAAATTCACTAAAAATCTAACATAAACCACATAATCTAATAATAATTATAACTATAGCTTCAATAATATATAACTATAGCTAAAATAATCAGGTAACCCCTTAATGTCATCATAAGCAAACCCTAACTCAGGGTTTCTTATACATAGGAGGCACAAGTGGCGCACTGCCGTTGTCAAATTTAACATCGCCGTTGTGAAAATGTTCCTGTATTTACCCGCCGTTGTCAAAATAGTGTCAAACCAAAAATAAATAGATCACCAGATTCACCACGTGCTTCTGGCATATTTAGATTGCCATGTGCGTTTATTGAGTCATGTGACACGGGGTCTTTTGGTCATGTGATGCATTATTTTTCCCCAAACTGGCCATTGCCTCCTTTGTATAATTTTCCCTCAGAAGAAACCCTGCTAAGTTGCTAACAAACATGTCTAAAGAGTCCAGGTAATCGCTACTTGAAGCTTAAACACGCTAGCGTTTCGCTCACCGGTTGGTGAACGCTGTTCCATCGGGAAGTTCTTTTCATCCCCATCACCACCAGGGACATCTCTCCATGTATGATGTAACAGGAGTTTATTGGCGGCGCCATTTCTATCTGTGGATCACGTCACTGTCGAAAAACAAGTCCGAAGGTAACAGCTAGCACACAAGATTTTAATTGCAAATTAAATAAGTAGACAGACTGACGAGATTGGTAACATGACAATGGCATCTCCCTAGCTGTGAGTTGTGAATGGTTCAAGACTAGTAGTGCATGAAATGAATTGAATGAAATTGAACAAGACGCTTTCAATTTCACACAAAAATCAAAACACCTATATAGTGTATAATAATATAATGACACAATACATCGGCAGGGCGCGACAAACCCGCTTGCCCGGGGCAACCAAAATGCGCCCTCGGGCAATTAGCTTGGAATTGCACTTGCCCTTTTATAGAATGTCTAGACATAATGATATTTTTCTGTTTCCACCCGTCCCTTGCATTGTTTTGCACAGACATAAGCTGCCTTGCTGCGATGAGATTTGAATTAAAAAAACAATGCGAATGAAACAATCGGTGCATACAGTCATGTACACAACATGCACACAGCAACATGTAAACTCGGCCCCCAAGCCAGGCATGGTCGTTACGTGATCAGCTACCTCAAATGTTTGCCCCTCTACTGCAACCTGTGAATGAGGATTATCTTTGCTGAAGTACACAAAAACAGATCTAGCTTCCTTCGTTTTGACATAAATCATACTCTTGCATGACATGGTTTTCACGTTATTCACCGTCGTGTGGCGAGGCCAAGCGGTAAATTCGCATACACAGGCTACCACAGCAACTCGGAGGCACGGCAGGGAATTTAGGCCGTATAGTCTAGCTGAGTGCAGAAAATGCGCTTAGAAATGTTGTGCCCATGCTGGGTTTAAAAATTAAAACTATTTTACATTTAAACTATTTTAGAATGCTTTGTTTTTATGGTTGAATCCAGCAGTTTAAAAAAACAAAAACGCTGCGCTGGTAAAATATCTGAACTACTTCACCCGCAGAGGAATGATGTGTATGAATCGTTATGAGTAAACTGACGCTCCAGCCAATAGTAGCTTTTCGCACATGTGACGGTTGCATAGCAACCGTTAGCTCTAGTAACTATAGCCCGCGTACAGTTGCCGCTGGCGCTGCCTGAGGCGATCCCTGCCGTGCCTCCTTCGAGTTGCTGTGGTAGCCTGTGTATGCGAATTTACCGCTTGGCCTCGCCACACGACGGTGAATAATGTGAAACCCCAGCCCACCCACTCAGTGTTATTTAGGGTACGCATATGCTCGTTCCCTCCCTTTGAAAGCACCCCCCCTATCTCAGGACTGCTAAAATTTCTGAACCCCCCTTTCGCGAGCTTTTTGCGGGGTTTTCCTGCCTTGGAAACCCCCCTAAATCCGGAACACTGCTCAATGTACCCCCTATCTCAGGTTAGCTCTCATTCCAACCATAGTGACGTTAGTGTAGCATGTGGAACTGTCGAACCAGTCTACACTACGTAGTGTAGAGTTCAGTGATCTAGGGGAACTAGGGGGCAATATTTTTACATTTCAAAATTAAATAATCCTGAATGAGCTTTCAAAACTAGCAGGAATTTCAGGAATTTGATCCCGGGATTTGATAAAGTTTTCTATGATATTCAAGATGAAAGAGAGAGAGGAAAAACACCCCCTTTTTAAAGAAATATCCGGGTGAAAAGTCAAATACACCTTTTTTTTTTACAATTCTTGGGCCGGATTTTGTCGCGAGAAAAATACCCCTTTACCGGAGATTTTGGGAACGCGCATGCGGTCCCTCCGACCTCGGAGTGGGGGGGGCCGGGCGTGAAACCATGTCGTGCAAAAGTATGATTTATGTCCAAACGAAGGAAGCTACGCAGTTTGTAATACTACCGGAAGATAGAATAAGGACCAGTAAACAAAAGAAGCTCATGTTTGTATACATTTGTATTTTTATTACACACGAACTCGTACGACAAAAATTAGTGAATCATCATTACCAAAAGAGGTGTGTCTTACTCTTTGTCATTATTAAACTCTGATGACACTGTATACTGCAATGTACAGTCTATTATACATTTGCATGCCATGTCACCGCTCATTCTCTCTGCATCGTATGGATCCAAGCCCCAATTATAAACTTGAACATATTTATTTAATTTATTGTGGAGTGGTGGGTTTTTTGATAATAAACTGACATTAAAACATAGTGCCGCCGCGAGCGGACAGCCGCCCTCATCTAACGTTCACTGCGGTGACTCTGTGGTGGAAGTGGTTGGGATTCTAGTAACACCCGTTAGTCCCAAATGTGTTCAACATACACGCCTAACAGTGGAATGCACAGGATGGTATCAGGAACCTTCCTCATAAGAATAGTTTCGTTGGCATCCGTTATGAAAGTGCCGACGATGATCGGCGTGACGTTTAAGTGTCTTCAGATTAAAAGATGGAAGCTGTCTCATCGTACGTAAGTACAACAACTATTTGCCAAGACAGCGAGATAGGGTAAGTTCACTCATCCATGTTACCTGACGCAAGCCTACAGACTGCTAAATTGCAATAGGAAAGATGCTGCCACCTGTAACGCAATTAACGCAGGCAGCACAAAACTACAACAGTACTATCACCACATTCATGCACTGGCAGGTATGGCCACTGGCATTGGCATCCGTTACATGTAACATACTGACAGTGAGCAGTTACAGATGCCATAGGAAATTATACCATTTAAGAGACATAAACCTTCTTTAACCAAATTTAGCTTTTGAAATTCACTGTGACGTTGTAAGCCTCATACATCCAGGCATGTATAGATTCTACTAGCAAACGCCGGGCAGTCAAATTCTTTTAACAGACAGTCACAAATCCATGTTAAACCCTCCTCTGAGGGTCAAAAGGTTATCTGACACTTACTCTTCGCAAGTCAGGCAGAAAGTAGATTTCATTGGTCCTTTCAATAATGCCATAAAAATGCTAGGTCACCGCTGAAACAAAAAATTTTTTCAAGCGCTCCGTCAGACCATGTCCTCAATAAAATGTCTAAAATCTGCCCTGTGCTCATTGACCTTTGACCTGTGACCTCCATTTCGGCACAGTGATGGCTTTTCCTACCATGAGGCTATACACCAACTATCACGAGCCTAGGTCGAGCCGTTTAGATTTGTGCCGCAATTCTGCATTTCCTCCTATACCTTAAGTTAAGGAGTGAATGTTCCCCTTCTTTTACACCTCTTGACCTTTGACGCTTTGACCCCCAGCTTCGACATCCCAACTCGTTTTGACGATCCCCCCCCAATGTGCCGAATATCGTGACCGGACGTCGAGCGGTTTAGATTTGTGCAAACTGCTTGACAGACGGACGGACGGACGGACGATCATGCGATTCTACAAGCTGCATCTGACTATGTCAGATGAGCTAAAAATTAAAAAAGTAAAACAAACTGCGTGCTGTCACTGCTGTGTCTAGCTCCAAGAAACGGTATTGCTAGGGTTAGAATACCCTAGACAATCAGTAGAGACCAATAGAGACCAATAGAGACCAGTAGAGACCATAGAGACCAATAGACAATCCGTCGCACAGCCTGGTCGGGCTATGCTGTGTCTAGCTCTAGTACTATAGCCTGCATACAGTTGCCGCAGGCGACGCCTGGTTGCGCAGCGCCTGCGGCAACTGTACGCGGGCTATAGTACTAGAGCTATGCTGTAAGTGTCATAACATGAATATATTTTGATACAAACTCGTATCAGCTGTTCAACTTTCACCGTGCCGTTAAGGTGAAACGCTGGATGTTGACTAGTTGGACCTTCATTTACGTTATTTACTATTTAAAGGCTCACAATGCGCATCCAAACGCTAATTTCTCCGTACTAGTCTAGCAAAATACTTCGTGTCATGCATAATCACACTACCTTATGACAAATAAACTCTAGTTGGCTCCCATTTCACTGCGGCATTGTTAAAACCACAAGAAAGAGGTGAGAAAACTGGCATTCTGGCGCAAACGCGCGACTGTTTGCCAACAAGATAGCCCTCGAAGTGGTGACGTGACGTCACATGTTTTTATCTTTGCTGCGCCCGTACGCGCTGTAGCCGCAGCACGCGCTGCACGGTTGCCTTGGGGATTGGGGAAACTGTCAACAACAGGGCTCGAATTAACGCGACGCACCGACGGCAATTGGCCTTCTGGTGCCCCTATCAATCGCCGTACTGCCCTGAAAATCCAACCTGACGCGACGCAGTCACCTGCCTTTGCCCTTTTGTGTAATTGCCGTCGGTGCCCTTTATCTACTGCCCTAGTTTCGTTTTTAGTCGAGTCAACATTAACTACGTGCGCGTGCGTGCTGTAGTTGCAATGATGAGTTTAAAACCGATAATCGGCAGAATGGAATAATAACAGCATCGGAAATTATTCGCTCCTGATAGCGGGCATGTAAAAGCTGTTTAGGAGCTTTTGTTACTTGTACTTCCATTAGCAAGGGGGTACAGGGGTCGGTGTTACCGTGTAATCTTACATGGGGGCATATTGTTTTGTACATTAAAAGCAAGACGATGTTGATGTACTAATTTGTTATGATTTTCCTTTATTTTACAAAAGTGCCTTTGTGCCCTTCTCAATTTTGAGAGTTGCCTTGGTGCCTTTTAAAATTGTCCTCTGTGCCCTTCCATTTTAGAGAAAATTCAAGGCGATTTCTCACATGCCCTAAAAAAATTGCCGTTGCCCCTTCTCGCGTCGCTTAATTCGAGCCATGGTCAACACATCGGAGATTTCAAACATTGAACATGGAGGTATTTTCAAAATAACTTTTATAAGACAACGACAGTGAAATGGGAGGAACTAGAGTTTATTTGTCATAATGTAGTGTGATTATGCATGCCACGAAGTATTTGCTAGTCTAGTACTGTAGAAATTAGCGTTTGATGCGCATTGTGAGCCTTTAATTCATATTAGAAAAATATCTATGTATTCTTTATTTTTTTTTTTTTTGCGCAAGTGACTTTTGCCTCGCCGGCAACCAGTTTCATAAACTACTTGCCGTGGAAAATAAATTTGTAGCACCCTGATCGGTTACGTAAATTCGCAACGATCATGCTCATAACTTATGCTCAAGGGTCGTTGTCGTATCAGGTACAACAGATATGTACCGAGTACATATATGTATACACAAAGTGTACCAGACTTGTACTACAGAAGTGTACCCTAACCCTAACACTAACCCTAAACATACCTCATATAAAAATATAAACACAATACTAAACAACCTAAAACTACCTCGGGTACATATCTGTAGTACCTGATACGACAACGACCCCATCTGCCATACTTATGCTATGCCTATTACTATAAAGTATAAATTATAACACTAGTAATAATATTAATAGTAATAGTATTACTCCATTACTTTTGTCATTAAATTGTCATTATCATTACGGCATTAGACATTACTGGCCATTACACGGCATTAGACTTAGTCATTACTCCGCTGCCCGTGCTGGCGCTAAATACTCACCAACTATGTTTTTTGTCGATGTAAATTTGAAATTAGTTAGGAAAGGCTTTCAGCTCCTTCGCCATTCTTAAAAGTCTTACACGTGGCTTTTGATCACAAAATGGAAGGAAATAAGTACTTTGCCTTACGTGTGGTGTTTACCAGTGTACCAGACGAAACAGTGTGACGCGACGAAAGTGACGTACGTGCGTCCATGTCATAGGAAATTTGCACAGGGGAGAGATAGTGATCGCTAGGGACGGCTCTGATTGGCTAATTTTGTCTCTTATTTATTTATTTTTATATTTTGGGCTAATTTTGTTTTATTTTAGAATTAGGGATAGGGTTAGGGTTAGGGTTAGGATTAGGGTTAGTGTTAGGGTTTAAGGTTAACTGATTTCTATATCCACAACTATTTCTATATTCACTATCTCTCCCCTGAGACCTACTAAATTTTAACTACCTGAGATTTCGCCACTGACCTACTGCCTGGAACCCCCCCCCCTCTATCGATAAACATTCATTAAATCATTAAAGGGACAGTAGCCTCTAGGATTTTACTGCATACAACTGTAATTACTGTATAACAAATCGTCTATACCCCACACGTATTTGTTACCAGATACCTAATTTAATTGTTATAATTAATTACACATCAACGCTACGAAATTTGAACCGCCATGACACCCCGCGACCGTGCTGCCACCCCGAAAAAGTTTCGTATTTGACAATTATTTTGCACGTTACAGACGAGGGCTAATCACAAAAGTGCAATTATATTTATACCTAAATGCTATTTAACCAAAGATACCGGTATCTCCATATGTAGGGCAAATTTATCCATAATACTGAAACTATATGTCGTTTATAAGATATTACAATCCTTTTGCTTTTAAATGAATAAATAAGAAACACCCTTGGTCTGTAGCCCTTGGCTGGAAAGTGGTTTTGCGCAACTTATCAGATCGTGCGCTTTGATTGGCGCCACCGTCTTTGTAATCAAACTGTAATCGTTAGTTTTAAAACATTAAAAAAAAATATTTCTAATGGTGATTGAACCATGAAACTTTTTATGTAGCGTAATTATAACCTAAATTAGCTGGAAATAACCCTAGAACCTAGAGTAAACTCTCCCTTTTAATATACGAGAGCAGAACAGAACACTATTATCCATAGGATACGATACTTAATAATTGAATTTCAGAAGCTGAATTAAGTTTTGTTCGGACTAATTTTGCTGAGTCTATGAAAGCTAGATAGGCATGTAATTCAAACTGTACCGTACTCAATGCAATTTTTGTCACACGTTGACTTGAGTTTAAAAAATTTATTGCAATTCACTCACGGACACCACATTGAATCCTGAAAAACAGCAACATAGCCGTACAGAGGGAAGAATTTTTTCGGTGTACAAACTGTGATTTTACCTTATCATCAATTGCTTGTTGTTTATGATAACGACCAAGCTTTTCCGCAGCGCTTTGGAGTTTAATTTTGATGTTTTATCAGGAATTTTGGGCAGTTTGAAGTTGCACAAAAAGCCAGTGTTGTAGTCGAGTACGTCCCCCCCCCCCCCCCCCCCCCCCCCCCCCCCCCCCCGTCCGAGTCCACACCACCCGAGTCCAGTTTTGATAAAAAAAATGGGGGGCACAAACTGCTATGCGAGCCTCTAGCTCCACACACTCCACTGGCAAAAATCAATGTGAATAAACAACTAGTCGCATAAATTTAGGCAGGAGTTTTAGTTTTAAATTATTGTAAACTGGGTGTTTACAATATGTACAGTTATGTACTATATGTAGTGGCCTCGAGCCGAGTCCGAGTCATTGCACTCCGAGGACAAGGCCGAGACCAAAGAAACTGGTTTCGACGCCAAGACCGGCCTCGAGACCTACAACACTGCAAAAAGCACATAAGAAAAATTGACATTTTACAATTTTAATTAATATAATACACAAATACACACACATACAGTATAACATTACAGTATGCACCAAGCATTGTTTGTAGCCTAAATTGAATTCAACAATTCTTCAAGCTACCAAGTAATAGTACAATAATTAGTATCAAGTATTTACACAAGAATACCCTAAAATGTCCATGGTATGACGTTAATCAGATGCAAAAAAGATATAAAGCCATGCATAATTTAATTGTAAGTTGATTTAAAATTATGACTACATTTTCATAATATTCATAATGTTCAATTAATATACTAAAATTATGGTCTAAAAATGACCTGTCAACCAAATGACATCAATTAATCAAAATAAATGGACTAGCATGCACACAGGCTGTGCAATGTTTCATCAAGACAGTTTGCATGCAATGGACGACCGTCAGCAGGCACATGTCTTACTGATTTACTACTAATGTCAACTTTCAAAATTATGAGCAAGTATATATCTCACTAGAACAGAATTCATGTGAAAATTTGTAATGTGCAAAATGTGCAAAGTTGCAAATTTGTTTGCAGTCCTGCAGAGATCAGAGGGTCATGTTCAGCACCGACGACATCAGCAGACGATCTTTAAGAGCGAATTCCACATCTTTCTCATCCATCTTTAGAGTGATCTACGTACAGAGACATGGCATTAACAACGAGGTCGCAGCTCGGAATAGAATCTGAAATGTGATAGCCACGCAGGGTTCTGCCCAGGATTTTTTAGTGCCGGGCGCATCCAGTTGCGACGAAGTCGGAAGATGCAAGCGCCGTAGGCGCGAAGCCAATCTAGGGGGGTCCGGGCATGCCCCACCGGAAAATTTTTAATTTTGGATAGTCTGAAACTCAATTTCCTGCATTCTGAGCAATAAAAAGCCCATATATCACCTTTTTTTTTTATATAAAAAATTAGTGCCGGGCACACCCGCCCACCGCCGCCCACCGTGGGCAGAACCCTGGCCACGAAGTTTTATTCCAATGGTCCGTCTTGTAACCTGATAGCTCTGATATAATGGACACAGAGTAACGACACATGACAGGACTATGAAAGGCGTTACAGCGTTCTACCCTCACGGACGGATGGCGTGACGACGACGTCACCTCTTACCTTGCGCATCCTCACATCTTTGGCTTTTTTCACGGTGACGATTCCTTGACTTTCCAGCAGCGTGCACAGGCTGGATAACTCAGACTGATCGATACTCGTCACCTGACGCTCTCGGCAAACTTTCGCGTACGTTTCGAACAACTGGAAACAAGTATACAAACGTTTTAAACGATCGCTCGATAGTATAAACTAAAAGGCTGGGAGACGAGAAAAAATCAGCGTGTTAAAAAACGGGCACTACATTCGGATACTGCCACGACCGTTTCCGGTGAAAGTAAAATTTCTCAAGTTAATGACGATACTGACGACAGTCTACTTGAGCCTCACCTTTCCTAGAGGAATCTCCTTTGCCTTCCCCTTCTTCAGTGTGAGCAGCAGAGTACAGATGAGAAGCTTCTGCTGCAGAGGAAGACCGTCACCGGCTTTGTCTGTCGTCGCCCGACCGCCGGCCAACCTGCCCAAACACAAGAACAGCTGTTAGGAGTCACGATCGACAACAAGCGATCGAAAACGAGCGATGGGAGTAACTCCATTAGACCGTGAATGTGGCGGACGCGCACGCGCTGCTGGTTTAGTTACCTGGCGCTGTCTGCCTCAGCCATGACGCTGGAGATGTGAGTGAGGTTGACAGTCTTGACTGCCGCTGCCGACTGCTGTTTCTTTGGACTTGTGTTACGTTGAGCGCCTGATGCAAGGCCGATCAAGTGCTGCCGCCTGGTTTCCGATTCCACAATCTCCACGGCACGCCTGGCAGAGGAGAAAACGAATATGAGCTACATGAGTGTAATCGCTTACGATTTAACAACGTTTGGCAGAAGAACTGTTTACAGTGTGTTTCGTTGCAGTAGTAGGATGCAATACGGAAACATATAGAAAGACCACAGAATATAAGGTAACCACAATATACCTAAAAGACAGATAGAAGAGAGTGGGAGAGACATAGAGAGGGACTGATCACTAACCTGCAGACATCGAGAGCTTTGCGCATGTCCCCGGCGACAGCAGCAACCTTCCTAGCGCAGAACTGCACCGCGTTTGTTTCCACTACGGACTCCTTGCTCTCCGCGAGTCTGTGCTGCAGAATCTCCACGATCTGTTGTCTCGTGTACGGCGCAAAGTTTAGCAACCTGTAGAGAGAGGCATTCCGTTATCCATCACTTAATAATCATTAAGATACTATAAATATTTCAGCTTGTCTCAACATTTTTGGGAAAGTCATAAGACTTTTACGACAAAAATTCATAAAATATCATTTACAAAATTTCAAATGAGATTTTATCCTTGTACAACGTTTAGCATTTAATCCCAGCATAGCAGAACTTCGTATAGATTCGTATACAAAGTAGCCACACAACCATATATAGGCTTACAACGACATCGCAAGTTATAATTGTCACCGACAGAATACGAAACGTGTGAATTATAGACAAGCAAGTTTGTCGCAGACAATTAAGCTAACCTTGGTTTGAGATTAGGTCGAGCCTGCAGCCGCGGCAGTATGCGGTCGGTGAGGTCGAGGGCGTTGGCGATGCCGATCATGACGAGACGCGACCGTGGCAACGCCGTCAGTTCGAACAGCGTGTAGAGAACAAACTGATCCTTGCTATCCAGCTGATCCATCTCATCCAGTACGAGCAACACCATCGCACCTCCGCCGCCGGACGTCAGTCGCTGCTGCAGTCGCTTCACCGCCGCGCCCGTCGCATGCTGCGTGGGGGCGCCACCGCCCGTCACGCCGGCGAGGATCGCGTTGAAGATCGCCTGCGGAGTTTTCACGGACATGCAGTTGACGACGACGGAGCGGTAGGATGCCGGCAGCGCGGCGGCGGCGTCGCGTCCCAGCTCAGACATCACCGCAGCAAGACACGCAGTCTTACCCGTCCCTGGAGCTCCCGACACGTACATGCTGCCCGCAGCCCCCTCTATCAGCCGTCCGCGCAGGAAGCTGCGCACGGCGTCCATCTCACGCTCGCGGCAGAGAATGCGCGCTGGCTGCGACACGCTCAGCGCTTCCTTAGTCGAGCGGTACGCGCCCACGTCCGGCCGCGCCAGCCACATAGACGTTGCCTTGTTCTCCTTATCGCCGAACAGTCGTAGAGGCTTTAGCGACGTCGTCGGGTCATCAACAAGCCGCGCTGGAGATGCCTGGTGGCAAGCGAGGGAAGCGGGATATTTTCGCGGCGAGCGCTGAACGCCAGGGTCATTCTCGTCATTGCCACGGTAACGAGGCACGTTGCCCGGCAACGACATGCTGCTGCGGGCAGCGACGTCGCTCTGCTTCAGCGGAGAACACGGAATCCGCGCCGCGGCCGTGGACACGGTCGCGCAGCCGTCGCCACGGCGACAGGGCCGCCTCATCTTCGTCGGAGAGCATGAACCCGAGTCGACCTTCGCTTCGCTCGTCCGCTTCCGCTCCGGACTCGGACACATCGTCGCCGGCGACGACGACGTTTTCGTCTTCGCATCCTCTTTCACTATCGCCACCGCCTTCCTCACCGTCGTCAACTTGTGGGGAGCATCTTGTTTTTTCTTCTTCACGCGGAATCCGATGGTCGCCTGCGCGGTGCCGGACGCGGTTCTCCTCGTGCTCACAGGCATGGTGCGCTGCCTGTAACAAACCATTGCATTGTCTACATCATACATGTACTGCTAATAAATCTACATGTAAGACATTACAAGATGTTCGACCTACAAGACTATTCTCACATATATCATGCAGGGTACCTGTACTCGGCAGAAATAAAGATATCTGCATGTATTACAGATCTACGTGATGCAAGTCCCTGCATGTGAAACATGTAGTTTTTGCAGCCAAAGTGATACACTAAGCAATAATTATGCATATCTACATTTGCATGTAAAAGTTCATTTATGACAGACATACACAAACAGATGTTGAAACGTTGTAGCAAACACCACAGGTCTACTCCAAACCAAGACTTTCTCGGGCAGTGAGCATATAGCAGCAAAGCAGAACCACAGAGTAACCCAGACCTAGACTGATGGCTCATTAGCAGCCCATTTAGACCCAGCTCTTTAAAAACATTGCTATAGCTGTAATCCATGCAGTCATTGCACTGTATACACTGGCCACCAAGACCTTGCCTTGTTCTCAGATGGGTAAGAGCACAACAATAGACTGCAGCAGCCCTGCTGATCACCAGCATATTGAACTGGGTGTGTGACTAGGTGGGAAGAACAGGACTGTGACAATGCCAGATGGAAGCACCCAGTGATGGGACAACATGTGTGACAATAACACCTTGATGACGTGACGATCAGTGCACGTGAACAAAGACATACCTATTGACGAATACAAGAAAACTGATGTGCCTATACTCAGTGACATCCATGGAAGACCTATTTCAGTCCTTGAAACAAACTGGCATCCCCAGCTTATTTGTTGAAACAGCAATAGATGTAGGAGCATAGCCAAACAAACATTAATTCTCTGTTCTGAGCTTATAAATATAATGCAGAAAAGCAGCTAGTGTTCTAACCTGTATACGTACGTGTATTATAGATGGTCAAAATTCCTTCTTGATTGCTGGGGTGAAATGCTGTGTACCCGGTACCTTTGCTGGAACTAATAGTAGTACTAGGCCTTTATCTCGATATACATCAGTCGTTGCCTGCAGCAGAAAAAATACAGCCGACATATAATTCATGTCCATATGGTCACACTATAGGCCTATACTAGTCTTCATATGCGTATAGAACATGATCAAACAACTATAACTGGCTTAGCTCTAGTACTATAGCCCTCCGCTCCGCCGCAGGCTACCCTGCGCAGTTCCCTGTTCAAGTTCGCAGTTCCCAGTTCAACAGTCTATACATACACAGTGCCAAGCCGACTTAGTCTGATCAGATACTATAAGTATAAGTATAATAAATATGATGCAAGTATAATAGGCCTATATATGATGAGAATAGTCAAGTATTCTATTACATTATACATATAAATCTTCAGGCTTTCACACGCATAGTTTTACTCATGCAAGTCATGGTTATACTGATAGACATGGAAATTAAAAGCGCAGTGAACTTTTATATAGTGAACTTTTATAATCATGCTATTTTCATTATTCATAGTCAGCACTCGATCAGACACTGGGACTACACAGCTGACTACCGCTGTACAGTGTACCGTTGTCATTGCCATTGCCATTGGCATTGGCATTGCACACAGCTTGGAGACAAACATTGAAACAAACATCTTACTCTTAGCATGCTAGCTAAAAACGTACATTACCTTATTGACAAAGTTACTAAGAAGTCTCTGCTGAATATAAGACGTTCCAGCCTTCAATAACAGAGAGAATTGATGATCTAATACTCACCTACACAAGCAACAACATCAAAACGCGCGAATTGACCTTTGGTTTGCTTTTGGCGCGAATTCGACGTGCAGCAGCTGCAGCTAGAACGCGCATGCGCAGACCCACAATGGGTGCTGCTAAACACCGCGACGGACCGGACCCTTTTCACAATGATATACATAGTTATATACTATACTATATATATACTAGCATATAAGTTAGTGTATATAGCAAGAAGTGTATAAAAGATAATATTATATTGTCACACGTACATACATAGATATATAATGTATATATATATCGTGGGTATATATTTGCTATAGTTTATAGTATAGTATGTACAATGTTATGTTGGACCACAATGGAAATAAGTGTGTTAGCCACGCTTTTTTGTGTTTTCATCCTCGATAATTTTCTAGCTGCATTTTGTTTATTTATGCTGTTATCGATGTAATGTATGCTTTAGTAATTATCGAAATAAATAAATCAAAAATATGTTTATATATATTGTTATTACAATTCCACATGATTAACTGTCATGTTAATTTATGCTTATAAACCTTTATAATTTAGATTATCTGATCTTTGATCATCACACGTCAGCTTAACTACTAACATCCAAAATTAGCTGCATAAATGTGTCATTTTTTCAAACTATTTGACAACTTTTTGTCAATTTTATTTATTAAATTTTTGAGGAAATCATTCACTGCATGACTGGGACATATACTAGATTTTGATAGGAAATATAATAGAGAGAGCATAAACCGAGCATAAACAACCAAACGTGTTATTATGGGGTTATTATACGTTAATATATAACATATTTTACACATTATAATATCAATATACACGTTTACAATATATAGTAATACGTATATATATATCAGGAGTTAATAAAGACAAATTTGTCTTTATTAACTGATATATATATATGTGTGTGCGTGTGTGTGTGTGTGTGTGTGTGTGTGTGTGTGTGTGTGTGTGTGTGTGTGTGTGTGTGTGTGTGTGTGTGTCGGCGCGCGTGTGCGTATTACGTAATATCATCACGCAAATTTATCATCAGCATATATCACAGTATATATACATATATATAGGGGCGTAGCCAGCCTTTCCAAGAGGGGGAATTCCCGACCTACTATATACTAATAAAACTTCGTTAAAATTTCCGTTTTATGCTTTTATATACATATTGTATTAGATATGTGCTATTTTGATACAAACCAGGAGGGATTCCGGAATGCATGGAATCACCCCTGGCTACGCCCCTGATATATATATATATATATATATATATATGCCTGCTTGTGTGTGTCAGCGTGTGACGTGTCCGCGTGCTTGCACGTGTTGAACGTGAGCAGGGCCGTAGCCAGAGGTAAATTTTGTACGAGGCAAATGTTGTGAGTTAAAGAACAAGGAGCGAAGCGAGCCAATAGGGCGTGGGGTATGGGGCCCACTAACTTTTTTTTTGGATAAATTTTGTAGGAGGCATTTGCCTCCTATTGCCTAATGGTAGCTACGGCCCTGAACGTGAGTGGAACGTTATTACGCTGCCTCATAATTTATTTGTTCGGACCATAGATAGGGATACAAGAAAAGTTACATAGAGCATGCAAAAATAAGAAAACTCAACAGGTGTCTCATTTGCCATAGTAACTATATAATCAGCTTTAATATTCACACACTGTTACTTTATCACATCACAGAACAATCCACCTCATCATCCAACTACGATTAACGAATTACATATTAGCTATAGATTAACAGACAGAACCCTTCAATGATTTTACAGACACCTTTCTTTTAATAGAGCATATATGTTATTAATAATCAGTGTATATTAACCCATATGAACAGAATTAAGTACAGTTATCAGGCAGCACCAAACAACAAGCAATCTGTGTGGAATGTAAAATGTAAGGCAAAAAGTTACACAAAATAAACGATTTGATGTGATTTTATATCGATTAAATTACATTTTGCTTGGATAGAGCTTGCCACATCATCTTACTATATATGACTATTTGCACGAAATTTACCTGTTTCATGATAACTCTTCTATTATATGCATTGTTCTAGCATTATATTTCGATATAATTGTATATGGTTTGAATTTATTCTTATCAAGTGACAGCCAAACTGATTTATACGTGCACTTTGACGAAGGAACATATGGACCATAAAAAAATCACCCCACTATACTGCTGTAAATATGTTTTTAATCACTCTGTTGCCATCTAATGACACTTTTATGAAATTACAAAATCTACATCGTTGCTGCAACGGCAGCGATAGTCGTGTTCCTGTTCACTGTAAACATATATTTATGGTAATACGTTCCCATGCAACTCAGTCCTACCACCTGTATGCACATACAGCCAAGCAGTGCTGCCCCCTGTATGCACGCACAGCCAAGCAGTGCTGCCCCCTGTATGCACATACAGCCAAGCAGCAATGCCCCCTGTAGACACACACATACAGCCCAGCAGTGCTGCCCCCTGTATGCACATACAGTCCAGCAGTGCTGCCCCCTGTATGCACACACAGCCAAGCAGTGTTGCCCCCTGTATGCACATACAGCCCAGCAGTGCTGCCCCTGTATGCACACACAGCCAAGCAGTGCTGCCCCCTGTATGCACATACAGCCAAGCAGTGCTGCCCCCTGTTTGCACATACAGCCAAGCAGTGCTGCCCCCTGTAGACACAGTCCTGTTCCACAGGCGCTCCATGCTGCCCTCTGCGTGCGTGCGTGCGTGCGTCGGCAGTCTAGACCTTGGCGGGTGGTTGGTGGGCGGCACGTCCCTCCGCCATGAGCGTCTCTATCTCCTCGACGGTGCGTGGCACCACCGTCATCAGCTCACAGCCGTCGTCCGTGATCGCGATGTCGTCCTCAATACGAACTCCGCCCCAGCCTGTGAAGCGCGCCAGCTCCTCCGCCACCAGGTAGCGACTCTGCACCGGGTCGCGCATCGCATTGTCTAGCAGTGCCGGGATGAAATAGATTCCTGCGGAAGGAAGAGAGAGGAGTGAAGAAGTAAATTCCTGCAGAAGGAAAAGAGAGGAGTGAGGAACGAAGTAGATTCCTGCAGAGGGAAGAGAGAGGAATGAGGGATGAAGTAGATTCCTGCAGAGGGAAGAGAGAGGAATGAGGGATGAAGTAGATTCCTGCAGAGGGAAGAGAGAGGAATGAGGGATGAAGTAGATTCCTGCAGAGGGAAGAGAGAGGAATGAGGGATGAAGTAGATTCCTGCAGTCGG